TTTGTTTATTAATATTTATACCACTTATAAGGTAAATACGTAATATGAAAGGAAAAGCACCTCTTTGAATGAAAAAACTTAGATATAAGTTTTTACAAAAAATTTAATCAGAATCACTGCTATCTTGGAAACCATGAAACTCTTCGTCTTCACTGCTGTCTTCAAAATCAGACTGAACACTGCTGCTTTCACTGCTACTGTCTTCATAAATCAGTTCATCTTCTGTACCATCCAAAAAATTGCTTATGCCACATTTCTTAAAAGATTTGATAACAATATCTTGTTTAACTGCGTCCCATGAAGTTTTTATCCACTGACACACTTTTGAAATGCTAGGTCTTTTCATTCGCCCAGAATTTGTAACTTCATGTTGATTTTCATCACACATGTATTTATTTCATTCTTCACGCATAAAGGCTTTGAAGGGCTTGTTAATGGAAGCATCTAATGGCTATAATTGTGATGTAAGTCCTCCTGGAATGACTGCTATATTTGTTTTGCACTTTTGAAATTCTTTCTTTGTTGGTTCTGTAAGATGAGATCTAAATGCATCCAATACTAATAAGGATGGCTTCTTTAACAAAATACCTGGGCACTTCCCCCACACATTTTTAATCCAAAGCTTCATGCCTTCTTCATCCATCCAACCTTTAGGATAAACATGCACATGTATGCCACTTGGAATTTTCTCCTTTGGAAAAGTTTTTCTTTTAAAAATTACCAATGGTGGCAGCTTATTTCCATCTGCAGTTCAGGCAAGGACAACAGCGTAACGATTTTTTTCATGCCCTGAAGTTTTGATTGTTACTGTCTTAGCACCTTTCGAGTCCACAGTTTTATTTGAAGGAACATCGAACATGAGGGGTACTCATCCTTGTTGCCAGTTTGACCCATTTCAAAATTTTGTCTTTTCCTTTCTTTAATAATAAACCTATGAAAATTTATTATCTTCTCTTCATAATCGTCTGGCATATGCTGGGCAATCCTGGTTCTTGTTCACATCTGAAGCTCATGCGTCTTCATAAATCTTTGGCACTATGATGCTGTCCCTTTGAAATCATGTATTTGTAACTCTTTGCTGATTTTCACTGCTTGAATAATTATCATTTTTGTTGGTAAAGCAATGCCAGCTTT